TTAGCGAATAGCATTTAAGAGTTTAGGCGGAGACGTTTGAAGTATAGAAGTGAAGTAGACTCTAAAAGGAACTCGAAACCCTATCTTAAACAAGAAACAAGGTATCTTTTGTTCAAAAAACCGGGAGGAGTGTGAATCGGGCTATAGGCGAGCTTATCATTATCGCACTGAGCAGAATAATCCATATTGAACTTTTGAAATCCTTCATAACGTTTGCACCGTCATGGCTTCCTGGTTCTGTATCAAAAGCTGAGACAAAATCCAATCTAATCTTCGAAAATATATATCTTCTTAAATAATGGGTGTTGATTATACACTTATGAAAAATTCACCAAATGACCACCAACCATCAGATTTTATTTTGGGAGTCTCGTCTTGGTCTAGCTGAGAACTTTTCATCATACCCCGCCGTCGTATTTCTTTCTTTTTTTTCTGTGAGGTCATAATAAAGAATAAAAGGTCTAAGTTCGTTTAAATTTCGGTAAACGAGCAGAGTGTGCTGATCTATATCGCACACACACACATACATACATACATACATACATACACTAATACAAATCACATACAACGCCAAGCATTTATTGGTTAATTAATCACCACTACGTTATTATAGACAATTTACAAATCGCAGCAATGCGACAATTTTGTAATCGCTCTATTTTCATGTAGTCAGTTTTGTGCACTTTTGGGAGAAACGGATCACAAAAGCTTTCTTAAGTCTCCCCAAAGCTCGCTTGCTGATTGGTCTATGCCAACCAATCAGATCGTCTGCACGTGAAGAATAACTTTTCCCGCGCAGCGATCTGGAGCCTATAGTCACTTATATATGCAAGAATTTTTCTTAGTTAATTAGTAAGAATTCATCTGCCAAACGAATCCACGACAGTTGAAACCATGCGCCAACCTTTTCACTCACACACACCACTCAGATGCTGAACATACCTTGTATATACTCACATAATTTTTTCTTACACAGCAAAATCTTCTGAGAACAGTCATTATAAGAAACTCTCATAAACATTCTTCCAGTGAACTTTGGAATACTAAAATAACAGATAAAGAGAGACAACTCTTGTTTTATTCAACATTTTCTTAGATAAATGCATGCTTTCTTTCACATCATTGTTGGATATTGTACATCTTGTTACACTTCGAGAGCAAATAGCTCTGCGGGAGAAGCTCGTTAACCATTACACCACCTATGCACATATGAAGACCGTTTAATAATCAAAAATTCACTAACATACCCTGGGTGTTTTAAACAATGACTAAATTCGACATGAGCTTCGTTTAGTTTATTCATTGATTCTATTTTACGGCTTGCAGATTATTTAAAGCCAGAAAATATTTTTAGATTGTAAGAATTTTTTTGAGATAATAATGATTTAGTGATACAAGTCTTACTAATTAACCCATAGCTGGGGGAGAAGATGTTTATTCATACCTTTCGTAAGGATATTTGCGCGTAATTGAATATAACAAACCCAACTGGAATTAGAACTCGGCTCTCCGATTAACAATTCCGAGCCATTATCCTTTACACCACCCGCACATCCAAGTTTACAGTACAGTCACTTATCTAGGTACTGACCAGACTCGGCGTTGCTTAACTTCAGTGATCGTCCGGGAACCGATGTTTCAACGTGATATGGCCGTAATCCCGCTCTGTTTAGTCTGGCATAAGGTCACAAATTTGAAGAAGCAATTCAATTTTAGAACTGAAATGATTGTGTTGCAACACGAGGGACTTAAAATAGCTGCCATCGTAATCCTTGCTTTTACTTGAGCTCGAATAAATCACATTCTGTGACAGTAATAATTCCGTAGAATGATGAGGCAGGCCCCAAATTATATTAACTACGGTTAGCCTGATCAGGGTCATCTCATTCAGTGGGCATCTCATTCAGTGTTTATTTTAGGTTTGAAAAGATTTTGCTGTGCCATGGGGGACTTCATCGAGATCCGAGCTCGATCAGTTGATTTGCGTTGATGGTAACCATCAAATAATCTTCGTGCTGCGGCAGGCCAAAAACAATATGAAAATGGCTTGGATTGGTCTGGAACAAAGCAAAAAACATATTGCAAAGATTGATTCAAATTACGACTATAGCAATGATCACAATGCGACGGAGAGGCAATTTTTATAAGCAGGTAATTTATGTTAAAAGTAATAACGACCCCGATGAGACTCGAACTCACAATCTTCTGCTCCGGAGGCAGACGCCTTCTCCATTAGGCCACAGGGCCATACATTATTGCAGTTTATAGATATTGATAACTATTGTAGGCTATGTTTATTAGAATAAATCATGAAAAAAATATGTTTTTAAACATTGAATATTATCAATTTAAAATCAAGATGAGAAGAACCCCAAAGCTATCATTGAATATTAAATTCTTGCCACTGATTAAATCATTCGTAAAAAAAATATTGAAAATGTTTTTGGAAATAAATTTTTGTAAATCAGCATTCATTAAGCCTTCCACAAGATGTGACAAAATGTCATGGTTTTATTATTTTATAAAAGGTCGGGAGTATTTTTTATGTTTTATATGGGGGTCCTGTTCGCAATATTTTATAAGGGGGGTCTGTTCATAATATTTTATAAACGGTTCCTGTTCATGATATTTTATAAGTTGGTCCTGTTCATAATATTTTATAATGGTTTCCTGTTCATGATATTTTATAAGGGGTCCTGTTTGTAATATTTTATAAAGGGATCCTCTCCATAATCTTACTTATTATAAAACGCAGATTGTGTGTGTTTGTGTCTGTACGTTTATATATGGGATCGTATTTCCTACATTTTTCAACCGATTTCAACAAAACTTCACAGGACTACGTTAAATTACCCGGCGGTGTGTGGCACCATGCATACCTGACGAGCTGAGAGAAATATTCATAGATATATGATTTGTTTTTACGGTTTATCCACCATTTAATAATTATTTAAGGCCGAAAAATATTTTGGGTTTTAAGAATAATTCTTTCTTTACGTTCAAGCGATCTGGAAGAAGGAAAGAAAAAAGAAGAAAAGAAAGAAAAAAATAATACGAAAACAGTTCATAAGCGAGCACACACACGCTTGGCTGACCCATAACAGGTGTCAAAAATATCCAGATCAAGCATCTAACCGAGATCTGGGTAAATGGAAGTTGTTATCAATTGGTTGAAGAAACGAAGTTTAGGGACAATGAGAAAATATTGATAAGTAACAAGTGGAAAGTGTGTCATTGGGATGATAATAAAAGTCTAAGTGGGTGGGGAAGTGTATCTAAGGATATGTAGGCAAACCATTAATACGAAAACCCAGACAATCTCCAGAATTGGAAAAAAGCCACACAAGATGATGTCGCTGAAAATTTTTTGAGATAATAAAGATTTTTATTATCGGACCTTCGGCCGGAGGAAAATGAAATATTTTATTTCGTTCAAAAAACGCCAACAGGTCTGAAATCCCTTTCTTAGGTCATATCCAATTAGCGATAAACTGCTTGACAAATACCACGTGTTAAAAAAAAAGCGAAGGTGTCATCGCAGTCGCTCATGATAAGGGCGTTTTTAATTAATATTTTTGTTTTTTAAGCAAGGTGTTTCTTTCCCCAAAACAAAGCCACGGATTGTCCACACCCGACTAAAGACGTCATTGGCTAAATAAGATCACATGACACACGAAGGAGGAGGAAAGATACCCGACCAGGACCTCATTGGCCGAGAGCGGTCGCGTGACGCACGAGGAGAATCGGTCGACGCCCCTGTCAGAAGTGTAAGTGTGAGAAGCCGATACAAAGATGCGGGGAAGCGGGTATACGCCCCTCAGAGGCACAGTAAGGAAGTGGGAGTGAAAGTGAGTTACCGAAAATGGAAAATCCCTAACCAGAAATAAGAAGGGTGGATACGTATTTAGAATTATCGAGAAACCCCAGGCGCCGACAGACCCACCCCAGTTTTGACTGCGTCAATAAAAGCGAAACCCCAACCGACGGTCGGAAGCTCATGAATGATTGAAATAAAGTTCAAATACATACATACATACACACACACACACATTTATATATATATATATATATATATATATATATATATATCCAGGGTCGTTTGCCAGCTTATTCAAGATGATATTTGCCCACTCTAAATTTCTAACTTTCTGACCAGGAATGACAAGATGCCTCACAGGTTTCACGTACGATTTCATTTTCAAGTCCCTTTTTCACTGCTCTTTGGATGGTCATTACTGAAATTCCTCTCTCACGTGCCAACTTATGGATTGAGTTGGATCTTTTCTAATTGATTTTTTTAGTTCTAAGTTGAAATGATCACCCTTCTTGCTATTGATTGTAACCTCCCGATCAAGTTTAATTCTCTACTATGCCCTCTTTTTTAAAATTTGTTCCCCGTTCTCTTGATGGTTGTTGAATGGACTTTGAAGATGGAAGCCAGAGTATGAATGTTGATACCATTACTGAAGGCCTGAATGATCTTTTTCCTCTCACTATTGCTCATTTGGGAAGACAGTGGGGCTGACACAAAATGACTTTAACGTATTATCTTTCTAGTTGAATAACTCAAATGGTTTTTCAGTTATTCTTAGGACAAATTGTGTCAAGATAGCTAAATGTCTTACCTGAAAACCTGGAAAAAAGAAAGACAATTATTTAAGTGTTTTTTTAGATGTTAAATATTTTGTGGGATGGATAATTATTCTATTACACCCGGTATATATGTAGATAGATAGATGTGTATATAAACAGATAGATAGATAGATAGATAGATAGATAGATAGATAGATAGATAGATAGATTTTGAGTTCTTTAGTTTATTGTCGCCTATCTCATCTACTACTCCCTACCTATTTTGATGGAGGCCCAATCATGAACCCTCCGCAGGAGCTAGCTTAAATGTCACCCGATATTCTAGTAATAAATAGATAGATAGATAGATAGATAGATACAGTGTAACCCGGATATAAGAGAAACCCGGATATAAGAGAGGTTTTTTTCTGGTCCCAAATTAGAGCCTGTGTTAATGTATATAAATTAAATACAACCCGGATATAAGAGAAACCCGGATATAAGAGACTTCTTTTCCAGTCCCGACAACTCTCTTATATCCGGATTATACTGTATATAGATAGATAGATAGATAGATAGATTATGAACATAGCTAGCTAGCTAGCTAGCTAGATAGATAGATAGATAGACTCTTGGCTAAAATCCTTTGGCCTTTGCCATTCACTGCCAATTCCTTTGAATGATCTCTTGATTGTTTCTCAGAAATTTGTTTCTTCTTCAAGTCGAGTTTGATCCAACAACTGGATTTAGAGACTTAAACCTTAAAATATACAAAATCTAACTCCTCTTAAATAAATACACAAACCCTAAGAATGACACTAACCCAACAATCACTTGTCCTTTCTCCTTGAAGAATTTCACTGCAGGGATAATGAAAGACGGCTGTTAAGTGAAACGTGGGCGGCTGATGCTATCTATTGGGTGCCCACCCCCGTTAAATCAGATAATTCACAGAAAACGTGGGCAATAGGCTGGCATCTTTTCTAATTAGGTGTGTCAAAATTCTAGCTTGCACTCGTTGACTGCTACGGCTGGCTTGTCTATTTCCCATTCTCTGATCTTATTTTGTTTGACCGATTGGTTCTCCGGTCGGATCAGGTTACCAAAATCACTGCAAATTGGGGCCCTATGCCGACCCAAACAATGCAGCCAAGATTAAGAAACAGATTCGTTCTGTCGTCATTCTATTGTGAAATTCTTTTTGCAATAAAAAGGCTTGAATAATGTGTTAATATTGTAGATTAGTGGACGGGTGGAGACAGCATTAGAGTTCAAATTATGAAACTGGTGATCTAATCTCACCATGTCAAGGAGGTGACCAAATTTTAACTATTGTTCACCCAATACAAGACACAGGAGCCACTCAAGGTAGAGAGTTAATGGGGATTTTGTAAGCGTAATTGATCTAGTATGGGACACCTAGTGAGGCTTGAACTCACTATTCAGTCGTAATTGATCTAGCGAGACAAGCTTGTTAACCATAACACCACATCGAGGTTCCCTGATTTTCTAAGCGTAACTTAGATGTGGCAGAAGGCCGAAAGTAGGGAGCACCTAGTGAGATCCAAACTCACTATTCAGTCGTAATTGATCTAGCGATGGAAGCTTGTTAACCATAACACCACGTCGAGGTGCCCCGAGTTTCTAAGCACAGCTTAGATGTGGCACAAGGCCGTAGATGGTTAATGAATGAAATTGTTAAAAGTAGATAACGGTTGAATCTAGACTTGAAGAGGTTAATCTCGGGAGTCTGTTCCACAAAGTAGCAGTTCATGGGAAGAGGCTGTCCGAGTGGAAGAAGCAGTCCGACTTCACATGGTCGTTCATAGATGTAAAGGTTTCAGTGGGTAAAATTAAAGAATGTAGCAGGGGTGAACATTTGCATGGAAATAGCGACAGACTTGCGACATTTCGTCTTTGTGAAGGAGGTTGAAGGGCATGGAGAATTCATCACCCACATGGCAGCGTAGACGCTTTTAAACTCCATGAAGACCCGAAAGTGACGATTGCGCTGATCCAGTCGAAATATGGCGGCAATGTTATTTTGGGTCTGAGCTGACTCTTTTAAAGATAGAGAATGGTATGAGGAATCAGATACTTTCTTGGACGGTAAAGGAAGGCCGGTGGGTACTACCCAAGCCTAACTGGGGACTCCGGGCACCGTTTTCTGATCCACGCTATCTTAGCAACATTTGATTTTTTTTTTCTACTTACATTTATCTACGTTACGAATTGAACTAAGCCCAACTGACTATTAAAAGATGAAAATCTTCCGCGGATTTTGACGTTATTCTGGTGTCTTTTATTTCCGTTCAAATCAGTGAATTTGCCCTGCTTATGCAAAAAAAAAAAAAACTATATAAAATTAATTAATCCATAATGCAGAATGTGTTAAAATTATTCAACTTTTTAACAAGAAAAATCTCAAATTGATGTTAAAAATTCCTGCAAAACATTGTTGATTTATTTAAGCTGGAATGATCTATTATGACAGGTCTCTAATTTGTATTTAGATATATTGTATTTATTTTCGATTTTTCTAGTTGAATTGTTTATCTATATTGCATCATTATATATAATTAAATTACAATCAAAATTTGTGTTTTATATGAATACTACCTTATGAATGGATGATTTCCAAGCAACGATAAACACATGCATTTATCGTTGCTTGGAAATCATCCATGTAAACAAACTATCATCACATTCTTGTCCGTGTATTGCTTAATATATTGTACAGTAATTGTCATCTTTGATGATGGCTTATGTAAGCCGAAAGCTTAGATTAGATTTAAAAATATGTATCAATATTGTGATTTTCTTTCTTCGTTTAATGGTAATGTTATTAAGCTTATCAGACGGTATGAAAAGAATTAACATAAAATAAATAGACAACACTTGTCTATATTATTTAATGAAACATGTATGAATATATATATATATATATATATATATATATATATATATATATTAAAAAAGATTTTGTTGATTAGTTTTAATATTTTATATTAGTAGGGTCCCTTGAGTTATATACCGACAGTTATTACCTTTACTATATATATATATATATATATATATATATATATATATATATATATATATATATATATATATATATATATATATATATATATATATATATACATACATACATATATATATATATATATATATATATACATATATATATATATATATATATATATATATATATATATATATATATATATATATATATATATATATATATATATATATATATATATATATATATATATATATATATATATATATATATACATATATATATATATATATATACATACATATATATATATATATACATATATATATATATATATATATATATATATATACATATATATATATATATATATATATATATATATATATATATATATATATATATATATATATATATATATATACATATATATATATATATATATATATATATATATATATATATATATATATATATATATATATATATATATATATATATATATATATATATATATATATATATATATATATATATATATATATATATATATATATATATATATATATATATATATATATATTTCTGTGTATTTAGTCTGTGGGTATACTACAATCACACTTTCGAATTTAGGTAAAAATGGCAATGGTAAAATGGCAACGGTAAAAATGGCAAAAGTGGATAAATAAGAAAAAAATAGCAAAAGGAAAAAATATAGATGAATATCTCACAATGAGTTTATTAAAATCTTGGATACAATACATAATGGAAAAACATGAGAAGTTTGTCAAATTAAAAAGAATATTCAGCTAAAGCTCCCCCCTCCCATCAGATTTTACTTTTTAGACGATTACGTCTGAACACACTGAAAAACTTGGGGGAAAAACAATTATAGATCCACTTGATGAAACCGAAAAAAAACAAAAACAATAAAACATTAATTATTTCAGAGGCTATCAGACAACGACAGGGTCAGATTGGTGCCAGTAAAATTTAAAATCTTGTCTGATGCGTTTTCAATCTTTTAATACTCAAGTGTGAAGTCTCTGAGAGGCGTCATATAGACATTTAGCCAATAGGTGCGAACAGAAATTCAAAAGGTTTGCTGAGGAATAGGCTAAGTGAACTCTAGAAGATTTACTTCGTTTACCAGAATTTACCAATAAAATAATTAAATTAGACTCTGAGAGTCAATACGAAATCTGTGAATGGGATTTCTAACCTTAGCCTTTGCGATTTTTCCGATTCCGATTAATCGTCCCAACATTAATATATATATATATATATGTGTGTGTGTGTGTGTGTGTGTGTGTGTGTGTGTGTGTGTGTGTGTGTGTGTGTGTGTGTGTGTGAAAAGTGTATATAAATATAAATAAATATATATATGTATAATTATTTATATATTATATATGCGCGGTACTTATTAAAAGCGCTCAATATCAGAGATAGAGCTAACATATTTGGTTGGATAGATGTGAATTTGTGACCCTGGGTTTCACGCTTTAGCGATCGTCAGTGTGAAACCCAGGGTCACAAACTCACATCTATCCGACAATATATATATATATATATATATATATATATATATATATATATATATATATACACACATCTAATCCTAATGTCAGCTATCAATTATAAAATTATTTATAGTCATCAAATTCACTTTAAACACGCTACGATTTGTGCTTTTACTGCACAGAGTAAATATTTATTTAAAAATATTTATTTTAAAATATTGAGGTGGGGTACTTAGCCCTATTTTAAACTAGAGGGATGGGAGCTTAGACTCATAATTTTCTGTTGTCGAATTGCCATTTTTTCCTATTTATCCACTTTTGCCATTTTTTCCTATTTATCCACTTTTGCCATTTTTACCGCTGCCATTTTTACCGCTGCCATTTTTACCGAACATCTCACACTTTCACTGAGGCTTATCTGCCACCTATCGGGCCAGAGCGCCATCAAACATGTGAATAATATTTTTCAGCACCCCCGTCGAAGTACTACAAAAAACGTGTTCCTGACACCAGCTCTACACTTGTCAATAAATTATTTGTATGATTTTATTTGCCAAATAATCGTCGACCTGATTTCCAAATATGCTGATTTCAGTTGCCCTTTTATTCCCTGCGATAAACTGCACTGAAGCTGGACAACTATTTCGACCGCCATTTTTATCTTGATTGGGAATACCAGGGAAATATTAGGACGAGGATAAAAATTCCTCGTTTCTGTTGGCGGAACGGCCAATGACAACTGTGACTTGTTACCGTAATTCAGAAGCGGGCGCCATTTTATTGTCATCCCATGAACACGTGAAACGCTAAGCAGAGGCGATGAATTTAGCAAATGGCTGAGAGAAAGCTTTTCCTTTTATGGACTTCACCAGTTGTTTGAGTT